ATCGTATAGGTGATTATCGTAAGAGATTCCCACGCGTTATTGAAAATCATTTCTCCAAATCCAGACCATGCATGATCGATCATAGCAAAACAAAAAACAAATAATTAAACTGATTAATATATATTTGCGTTGTATACTACTAATTAGTTCTGTGCGTACGTGCAGCTGAGAGATCTCATCAGGATATGTATATATGTTGTGTACGTACGCTGACCGAAAAGAAGAGAGAGAGATAAGATGATTAGGAAAGCATTTAATTATGAAGTGGAAAAAAACCTGGAGAGAGATCAGGTAGGTGGCTAGCTAGGTTAATGTCTTTATAAATTGATGATATGCGAATCAGAAGATAATACTAATATACGGAGTATATATATTACCAACTCCAGGTCTCCAGCGATATATATGGAAATGGAAAAAAAAATCTTATCTCTGCATAACTGCATTATTTTGCTAGCTAGTGGAGTATATATAAAATTTAAACTCGTCGATTCCGAGCAGAGCCATTTAAATTTCATATATATAAAATTTAGGATATCGCTCATCCCTGAAAATAGAATATATTTTTCTAGCTAGTGCATTTCATGTTTCGTCTCCATTCACTGGCTAGGGTATTGTACTATTAATTGTTATCCAAATCATGCAGATATATATGGCTTTGTTCTAAATATATATACATATAGATATATATGGCTTGTTAAAAAGGCTAACCGAGTTTAAAAATATGGTCATCCCACGCTCTCTTGTCCACATGCCAAAATTGTCAAGCGCAGGGTAGTTCATTGACGAAGTCATTTTACAATAGTTCGTATGCAAACCACCATTTAATTTTTATTATTTTTTTAAAAAAATATACTCCTATCTGAAATGCAGGGGAAGGCATATTTTCACTCGTGGATCTTGGGTCATATATATATACAGCCTAGGACGGTAGGACCTATGTTATTCTGTTAGAACTCATAAATTAAATAGTACCTTATGGATTTAACTTCCAGCTTATTGAGTTTATGCCTAATTTTGGTTACTAAAAAGAACATAACTAAATGCTACGTACTGTACCAATGATATTGATGTGTGCACTAATAATAATTAAAGTATGCAAGCTTCACCTGCACTACTACTTTCATTTACCTGGCTTTTGTTGACATGAAGAAATATAAATAATTAAATAAAGTTGAGCTGTGATCTTATGGCGGCATATACGTGCTTAATTAGTACTTCCTCCGAATTTCCTCCGTTTCATATTATAAAACTTTGTAGCATTGTCTACATTTATATATATGTTGATAAATTTAGACATATATGTGTGTCTAAATTCATTAACATATATATAAATATGGACAATTCTAGAAAGTCTTATAACCTGAAACGGAGATAGTGCTCACTTAATCACTCACTTACGCCACCCTCGACGTTAATTACTAGCTCTCTAGCTTGTCGCCGGATGACAACCAAATGCTTAATTAATTAATTAGTAATTAACTAGACAAGGATTAGTGATTGTTTAAGCGCAAGATTTGTCCTGCGATTATTGGCTCGAGGTCTTTAAGCTAGCGCCTGCTGCATGCTGATTGGATTGGATTAGGTAGTAGGAGTATAGATTAAATCTGGGGCCAGCAGCATCCAGAGATCGAGTTGATCATGCGTATATTTTACATGACCATGACTACTCTGCTCATGGTTAGTGCAGTACTTTGATTAATTAGCTTATTATATTCGTCTCCACCAATTAATTTAAGGGATTCGTCATGATACGCTGACGTGACCGATTGATCGAATATGCATGTACTCCATGTATTTGCAGATGTCAGTGTGTATTTCTTTTTACATATGTATATGTGGACTTATAATTTAATTAATTCATCTCCTTTAATTAGTCGGATCGATCTGTTCACGCATTCATTCGACGAGATCTTCCCCTGCTTGTTTTTTTCTAGTTTATTATATAATTCAAGGCATCTTGATTTTATTGGTTAATGCTAGCTAGCTGTATCGCCAATTAATCAGTTCTTGAAAAAACTGCATGAATAACCAAAGGGATATGGCACAAGTAGCTTAGCTCATGGTTCTCCCAAGCAAAAAATGTTGGGTGTGTTTGGCTGCGTGTTGCAGTGCTGTTTGGCAGCCCGCTGCTACTTGCCTACTGCAGCTAATGAATTACTATACTCTGTCCCATAAAAACGTATTCTCTCCGTTTCAAAATGTCTGACGCCGTTGACTTTTTAGCACATATTTGACCGTTCGTTTTATTCAAAAAAATTAAGTAATTATTAATTTTTTTTATCATTTGATTCATTGTTAAATATATTTTGATGTAGGCATATAATTTTACATATTTCACAAAAGTTTTTAAATAAGACGAACGGTTAAACATGTGCTAAAAAGTCAACGGTGTCAAACATTTCGAAACAGAGGGAGTAAACTATATCTACTAATCTGAACACGTATGTGTCTAAATTTATAGTTAGGATTAGACTTTTTTTTTTTTAAGACAGAGGAGTAGCTCTAAACTATAGCGCAGCGCTGTAACATGTTGCCGAACAGTTCCATTAGTACATAGTATGTTACTGTGAGAACTGAAAAAGTAACCATAAAAGCCTACAAATTGCCACATAGTCGCAGGACAAAAGCTGATATGGACGTGAGCGGCCTATATGCTATACGCGTGGCGCAGCTACATGCATTAGCTAGCAAGATGATTCACGTGCGCCATTGCATACATATATGATTATTTTTAGAGATGTGCTTCTATGCTAAAAAAAAAAAAAGGTTAATTGGATCCGTGCCACCGTAAATGTGGCAAATAAAAAAATGCCACACATATTTACGTTATTGGCTGGATGCCACTGCAAATTTTTAAAATAAGAACCATGCCACTCCGTCATGATTTTCGTCCAATCCATCACATTTTCTGCCGTCTCCGTCTTCGTCCTCTCGTCGTCCTCGTCTCGACGGCAGCACCAGCACGGCAGTACGAAGGCGAGCGCGGATGGCAGCACGGCGCACGGCGGCACGGCAGCACGGTGGTGGATGGCAGCACGGCACCGGCGACGGTCGTGCCCGCGTCCGCTCCCCGCGCCCCTCCGCGACCTCCTCGCCGACTTCCTCTCTGCACCGTTGCAGCCATCGTCGTTGACCATCTCCGCGGTGGACCAGCCGCCGTCGACCTCATCTGCGCGGGAGAGCTCGGGAGCCGCCGCCGCCGTTGCTGTCCTCGTCGTGGTCGTCGACGAGCCGCACCGCCTCCGCCCAGATCTGGCGAGGAGGGCTGCTCGTCGTTGCTGCCGATGGAGGAGGCGTCGAGCCTCGAACTCCGCCGCCGTTGGCCCCAAGCTTTGTCACTGGTGCTGCCGACGCCCATCTCCTCTCTCCACATGACCATCCTCGGCAGCAGCTGCGCCCCCTCCGCGACCTCCCCGGGAGCGTCCTCGTCGGCGGCGGCGGCGGCCTCGCTCGCGACCGTCCTCGCCGGTAGCGGCTATGCCCGCGTCCGCCTCCACGGCTGTCCTCGGCAGCAGCTATGCCCCCTCCCCGACCTCCCCGCGAGCGTCCTCGCCGGCGGCGGCTACGCCCACGCCCGCCTCCGTGACCTTCCTCGGCGGCTGCCATGCCCCTCCGCGACCGTGCTCGTCGGTGGCGGCAAAGATCGATGGTTATATGTTGATTGGTTTAGTTAGCTAGCTAGCTAGCCTCGCGCGCTGCATCTGTAGCAGCTAGCTAGCTACTACCTGAGCTTGTTGGGTGTTTCTGCCTGAGCTCCGTTCCGCCGAACCCCGTCAGACCCGGCCGCGACCGCGCCGGGCTGTCCTCCGCCCGTGCCAGCCGTCGCGCCAGCTCCCCATCCTCTTCTCCGTTTTGTCGCGTGAAGCCGATGCGTTTTTGTCGCGTGCGCCTCATCGGCTTCGACTCCGGTGGTCGAGCTGCTCACACGCGTCTGGGGGCAGCAGACGTGAGAGAGAGAGAGGAGGATGACGGCGTGAGAGAGAGGACGGAAATTGTGATGGAGTGGCATGGTTCTCATTTTAAAAATTTGCAGTGGCATCCAGCGGATAACGCGAATATGTGTGGCATTTTTTTGATTTGCCACATTTGCAGTGGCATGGATCCAATTAACCAAAAAAAACTTGCACGAAAGTTAAAGCTAATCAGCGGCTGTGATTAGAAGCGAGATTAGCACTTAATTATCATTAGCGAGGGGTAATTTCGTCCAAAGATTTTCGAGCCCATATCCAGCCCAGTCCATCTGAAGCGATCCCCACCCCCACCGGTCTACCACGGCGCCGCTCCTCAACCGCACCGCCTCCACTCCCTCCTCCCCTCGCCTCGCCGCCGCTGCTCCGCTCAACGCCGCCTTGCCGCCCCGGCGCTCCGCTCTCTTCTTCCCCTAGCCCTTAAAGCGCGCACTGCAGCCGCGGGTCGAACCGGCCCAGCCGCGCCTCCAGCTCCGCGAGCGGTCGATCCACGCCTCCAGCTCCGTCGTCGCCGCGGGCATCCTCCGCGCCGTCGTCGCCGGGGCCGTCCTCCGCGCCGTCGTCGCCGCGGCCTCCTCCGCGCCGTCGTCTCCGGGGACCGCCTCCGCGCCGTCGTCGCCGGGGCCGTCCTCCGCGCCGTCGTCGCCGGGGACCGCCTCCGCGCCGTCGTCGCCGGGGCCGTCCTCCGCGCCGTCGTCGCCGCGGCCTCCTCCGCGCCGTCGTCTCCGGGGACCGCCTCCGCGCCGTCGTCGCCGGGGCCGTCCTCTGCGCCGTCGTCGCCGCGGCCTCCTCCGCACGGTCGTCTCCGGGGACCGCCTCCACGCCGTCGTCGCCGGGGACCGCCCCCACGCCGTCGTCGCCGTGGACCGCAAGCCGTCGTCGCCGGGGCCCTCCTCCGCACCATCGTCGCCGGGGACCGCCTCCACGCCGTCGTCGCCGCGGTCCTCCGTGCTGTCGTCGCTCGATTTGGGAGGACATTACAGGATGTATGTCATTTAAAGGCATTTTGTGGAGGGCATTTCTTTAAAACTGCCTCAAATCATCTCTTTCAAAGGCAATTTTCATAAAATGCCACAAAAAGTATTTCTATACATGGCAAATTTAATTAATGCCTTCAATACTTTTATCATTAGAAGGCGTTTTAAAGAAAAACGCCTCAAAAACTCTGTGCTTTCAAGGCAATTTCATTAGCGCCTTAGAAAATCTCCTATTTCAGACGTAATCACGGAACGCCATAAATTTTATATTATTTGGGGGCATTTTGCAAAATCGCCAGGGTAACAGATAGAAGGCACTTTTGAGAGAAATGCCTCCTAATCTATACCATATATGCAAAAAGAATCCTGAAAGAATTTAAGGTATAAAAATTAGTCCTTCCACCACACGTATGCTACCTTATCAGATCCGAATCAGAATAGATCGATCAGATCAGATCGAAAAAAAAAAATCTCACGCGGCTAGCGAGCGCGCGTGATCGACTCCCGGCCGCCGCCCGGTGACTCGCCGCCGGCGACCGCCCGGCACCCCGCGCGCCCGCCCATCGCCCGTCGCGCCATGCCGCCGTCGACGGTCGAACGTCGCCCATTGCGGCGTCGCCCATCTCCGCATCGGCGCATCGCGCCGTAGCGCCGCCCGTTGACCTAGCTCATAGGGAGATTCGCCGCCGGTGAGCGCCCTGCGTCCCGCCCGCCTGCTGCCCATCGCGGTGCCGCCATCGACGCTCGACCGTCACCCGTTGCGCCGCCTCGCTGCCTCCACCCTCCAGCCCACGGCCTCACGCGCCCCGAGCCCACGACGCCGCCGCCCAGAGGTCCAGCTTCCACCTACAGACGAAGCCACGCGTGAATTGGTAACTCTTCCCCTCATCCACTGCCTAAATGCTAAATCCAGGGATGGTTAGGAACATTTTTGGTTTGGAACTTAGGATTTAGTTAATAGTTGAATTTAGGCTCTCTCGATCTATTGGTGATATGATTTAAGGTGTGTGAAATGAGAATTTTAGTAGACATGTTAGTCTCCATCTCTACCCATCACACTACTGTTTGAGCACGATGATATCTTGAGGTTTGTGCTTTTCCAGTTGGGTTGAATTTACCTCAGTTTTTCATGCATTGAAGGTGTTTGTAGTAATGCCTAAGCGAGTTTTTATGGTTCATAACTGGTTCGGTACATATCATTCATACAGTGAGCTATAGGGAAGCAATTTCTTACACTGAAATAGTGTTCCAATTCATTGTACTGAAATTGCAGTGTTCATAACAAGCTTATGTTCTACTACGTATTTGCAACTAGTAGTGAACTTCAGTGTTCTGCATGTCAAAGTGTTAGGTGCAGTAACTCTAGCATCCAAAATTCCAAACGAGATGTTTGTTTTATGTTTCTCAGAGACTGTTCTGCACAGTTCAATAATCTTGGTATGGAAGTAACGCACGAGCGTAATACTCTATTTTCTATAAAATTAGAGTTAGTTTTGTTGTGAAGCATAAGCATGATTGAATAGGAACTCTATTGGCAGTTTTATCACAAGAAATCTTGGTGGTTATAACCTTATAGGAACAAAAATATACTATGGTTTGTGATGTGATCTGAACTTAGTGATTCATTATGTATGCGTGCTTAGTTGCAGGGGTGCCTTTTGAATAGTTGGGACTGGATTTATTAGTATATTAATTAGTATATGACTCAGAAATGTTAATTAGGCAACATAACTGGTAGTATATTGGATCTGACTGGTTAGCTGAATATATAGTTCTTTGCATTATGAGAGGCTCAACGACTAATTGGATCATGTATTTTGGATGAAGCCACCATATTGGATCTGCTCTTTTGTTTTCTAAAACAGTAACAATATAAATCCATTGGAAATGCTACTAGAACCTTTATGTTCACTTTAATCTTGATCCAAAGATTAGAATGCTAGTTTTCTGTGGGATATTCTACACAAGTTTTTCCCCCATAAAATTTATGCACAGTTATAATTTGGGTTATAATTTTCTGCATATGCCTCACTAGATTTCTGTGGTTTGATGATATGTTTGAACTTTGAAGAGTTGAGCTGCTATCTGTCGGACTGTCACAAGTGCAAATTAACTTCGATTGATTGATCATGGATAAAGGGTGGATGAAAGGAGAACAATACATGATCTAACATGCAAGGATAACATAGGACATGAAGATGTACATTCTAGGACAAGTACTCTTGGAAAAGCCAGCGCTGGTTCCTTAAGTGCTATCAAGTTCACTAATAGCCAAGTGCTAACAACTTCACGGTTCTAGCTTATGAAAGTAAGTCTCCTATCCCAAGTTCGAATGTCTTTTCTCAAGACCATGGCAATAACTCTGCTGTTACATGATAAGAAATAGAACTATTGGTCTGGATATATTGTTTCTTACTAGTATTTAAGTGGATTTGCATTGTAAAATGTAGCAACTCATTTTATGGACAATTATAATTTCTGCAGATACCTCATTTGACTTGTATTACAGTTATTTTCCCCTAGATACTTTCATGGTGCATTCCCCAACAATTATACTATATATGTTTAAATCTTACGGATTCAGGATATTTTTCATGGTGCATTCCCTAATAATTCAAAATATTTTGGGCACCTACTAATGATTATATTTACTTCAGTGCTGGCCTAAGAATAGTAATCCTGAGAGCAATATAGGATAGTATGTTATGGTTGGTTAGCTGAGGAACACTGAGACAGTAAGTATCATCTCTTTGTGTCTCTTTGTTTGTTTGCATTATGTTCTGTTTAAAAGAGTATGTAGTCATGTAGAATGCAATCTGACTCAAATCGATCAACAATTTGTTACTTTGATTATGTGCACTGTATATATTGTGAATCTAATTCATGTAATTCTAGACTTATTCAACTTGCAGCTTGAGAGTTAAATGTTTTGAACTGATAGAAAATTGGAACACCATTATACTGCCACATCATTATACTGCAACATCATCAAAATTGGAACATCTTGATGGGACACTAAAATCTGTAGTTTTGCAATAAATGCATTGCTAAATCTTGTATTGATGGAACATTAAAATATGTAGTCTTAATGTATATTTATAATACATTGCTAAATTTGTAGTTTTTGCAATACTGTGACTTGCAGCTTTTTGATAAATCTAGTGTTATAAGCTTGGATTTGTTGTTGTATGATTTTTGTTTTGTCCTAATACTTGCAGTTTCATGTAAAGTACACTAAATCAAATCTTTTTTTTTTAAAAAAAAAACTAGTTTTACTGGAAACTGGCTTTGGTTATCCATTATTTTGTCTGTTAACCAAACAGACCAGCAATTTTCCAAGACCCTGCTAGACCTGGTCTCTACAAAATTCATAACCCAAACAACCTAAATCTTTCCTACTGATTTCATATGTGTTGTTGCTATGCATTATATCAAGGCAAAGCCTCTTTTTAGGCTGGTTGCCTGATTGTAATGGTTTGATAATCTTGTATACTAGACGTTTCTTTTTCTTTATACTTTTGTATTCTTTAACAGAGCACAAAATATAATTGGAACATCATTTACTATTTTTACCACCACCCACCTTCTCAGGTTGTCATGGAGCACAAAATATCTAACTTTTGCTGTCCATATCATACTTCATCATTTTGGTTCTTTTAGAAAGAACTTTGCTCAAGTTGTCCCGTGTTTATTACAGCATCATATAGCATAATAAAGCATATGTATCATCAGATGTTTGAGGTATGAGTTATGAATTATGTATCTGCACTGGGAATCAAATCAATAGTTGATCATCATTAATCTTTTAACAACATTGATCATTACGATGATTAAAGTGCAAAAATATTTCATACTCTGCAGGCAATTATTGGATTTCATTTTTGGATTAAAGACATGTACGAAGATTATCGTTATCTGGCAAGTGTTCTGATGCCATCAGAAACAATTAGAAGCTATCACGTCAAGATATTCAACAACTGCACATGGCCCTTTATTGATTTGTTTGTCTTTTCCTCTCACTTGTAGCCAGTATATAACTTCAGTGTAACAGAATGTTATTTTTTTAGTTGTAAACTGTGATGTGAGAAATAGTTGGAAAGATATCTAAAAAAGATAGCAAATTGCAAATTTTTGGTGTTGAATGAGCACTAATATTGGTTTGATTGTACCAATATATCAGTATGTAATTGGATGATTCATTGGCCACAATTTAGGTTTTTTTATTAGATGTTTTTTTCATTGGAGGCATTATAAAAAATGCCACAAAGCAAAGATGAAGGCATTTTGAATAATGCCACAGATACCTAAAATGGCATTCTGGAAACTGCCCTAGTAAGCTCTAACGGCATTCTTGAAAACGCCAGGCTAGACACTTTTTAAGGCGTTTGTAAAAATTGCCCTGGATTGCTTTTCCCGTCGGGAGTAAATGTGGCATTTTTCAAACTGCCTCTAAAGACCATTCAAGGCGTTTTTTTGACTATTCAAGGCATTCCAAATCGCCTCCTAAAGTGTGTCATCCTGTAGTGGGAGGGGGAAGGCGTGGGACCCACGATTGGATAGGCGATCCTGGCTGGCCAAAGTTGGCCAGCGTGAGGCCGAGTTTAGCCAGCCAAGCCATCCGGCTGGCCAGTCTGTTGGAGTACATTTTTGGCCTAAAATTACTAAAATTTAGCTTGGAGAGTGAGATAAGTAGACTGTTGGAGATGCTCTTAGCAGGTTGGCTGACAAATTAGTGACAGTGGTTTCACTATAGCTTGGTACGCCTTTAATGGTGCGGCCACGTGACAATGTCCTCGTCAGCTGGCCCGTACATACATAAATTGTGATCCACTGCATCATCATCGATCGCCTCTGTATTTGGACCGACGCAACGTCAGACTAGCGTGATAAAACAACACTGTTATATGAGGTTAGCACCGTTGTTTTTATCTCGCGTGGCAAAGACCGGGCTTAATTTGTCACATACTCCTATTAGGTTGACATACACGGCTAGAAAAAGCATTTTTCCTAACGTAGGGGTCTCATTTTTGCAGACGGACATACCCCTTAGAACCAAACGACCGCCTAAAAAATATATATCGGGATGAATGTGCCGGTCCGCCTGCGAAAATCTATTTTCGCAGGCGAACCTCTTAAGCGGCGCCGCTTAAGAGGTCCGCCTGCGAAAATAAACTTGACATAAATAGACTTTTGATAGACTTAGATTTTCTTCTAAGTCTCAAAACCCACCCCCTCCCTCTCCCCTCTCCTCCCCTCCCCTCTCCTCCCCACGGCCGGCCTCTCCCACGGCGGCTACAGCGCGGAAGGCGGCGGGGCGGCGCGCGGCGTCCGGCGGCGTGGGGCGGCGGTGGTGGCTCCCCTCCCCCCTCCCTCCCAGATCTGGGAGGAGGGAGGGGGGAGGCCGGCGGCGGCGGCGACGACGACGACGGCGCAGGGCCGCGGCGACGACGACGAGCGGGGGCCGCGGCGGCGGCTCTCCTCCCCCCTCCCTCCCAGATCTGGCCGGAGGAGGGAGGAGGGAGGCCGGCGGCGGCGGCTACGGCGCGGGGCGGCGGCGGCTCCCCTCCCCCCTCCCTCCCAGATTATAACATCTCAGCCTAGGGCTTAATAGAATTACTAAAATACTCATATCAACAAGTTGCAACTTCTTTTCCGGAAGCCGATTTTCAAAGAACTCCAGGGTTAAGCGTGCTTGGCCTGGACCAATTTGGGATGGGTGACCGACCGGGAAATTATTCTCGGGTGCGCACGAGTGAGCACAAAGTGTGCAGAAAAGACATGTGTTGGTCTGTGAGGGTAGTCTATGACCTATAAAAGCTATCAGATGGAAGCGGGCCCGGCTTGGGAGAGGCAGGACGCTACATGGATCTGGCCGGAGGAGGGGGGGAGGCTGGCGGAGTCCACGACGGCGCGGGGCCGCGGGGGCGGCGGCGGTGGCGACGACGACGACGGCGATGCCCGGCGTGGCTTCCCTCCCCTCCCCTCTTGCCCGGCGCGGCGACGCCGGAGGAGGACGGCGGCGGCGACCGCCGCCCGTGATTTTTTTTTTGTTTTTTTGAATGTATTTTCGCAAGCGGGTTGTTGCCCCGACTGCGAAAATGGATGATTTTCGCTGTCGTTGACCTACCCTCCGCCTGCAAAAATCACTTTTTGCCGCCTGGAAAGATAGTTTTTCTAGCAGTGATATTAGTGATATTAGGTTGATATGGTAAAACAATACCGGCGTACTCACCGTAGGCAGTTTCGTAGTATTGTTTCGCCACGTTATAGTTGATGTAGCTAAAAGGTTTATATTAGAGATAGTTTATTTTTAAAGTTAAAATATTAAGAGGTTTAAAAAATTTGCATTCTTGCTTGCCTTAATTTGGACTGACAAATGAGCTAGAGAGATGATATATACTATTTAATTTGGCTGGCTAATTCGTTTGTATTTACTTTAACTTCTTAAAAAAAGAATTCGTTTGGGTTTAATTCTTTTATTTAATCTTTAGATAAGGGTATTTTTTTTACCCAATCTCTACATCCAACCGGATGTATGTGGCCTTTTTAAATTGGGAACTAGCCACTCAAACAATACAATGATCTGAAGCTCGCTCTTATATAGATTTGAACACAGGACCTTAGAGTGCTGCTTTAATATGTGTATAAATACATATATGACTACTGTTCTTTCCAACAATTAACAGTCAACCCCTTAATTATGTTTGACGAGTGTGATTAGCACGAATAGCTAGCTAGATATTGGCAGCTAACAACAGAACGTTGATGTACATGTCACTAGACAGTTAATCTCCGGTGGCGTTAGTTTCTACACATGCAGGGTTCCCATGCACACACATCTCTCGATTAATTCTCCCTCCGTATTTTAATGTATGACGCTATTGACTTTTTAACAAACGTTCGACTTTCCGTCTTATTCAAAAAATTTATTCAAAAAATTTATGTAATTATCATTTATTTTATTGTGATTTGATTTATCATGAAATGTTCTTTAAGCATGACATAAGCATTTTTGTATTTGCATAAAAATTTTAAATAAGACAAATGGTCAAACGTTGGTTAAAAAATCAATAGCGTCATACATTAAAATACGGAGGGAGTATTATATAGTAGCATATTGTTTGCATAGTACAGTAGGGAGCACGTTTCTAATTTGTTAAGCACGATCAACTCGATCGATTAGCCTTTTCTTTTTTGACAGCCGCAATTTGTACAGCTCGATGTGCACGTTTACGTTACGTACGTGTAGCACGTGCTGAATTTGTTGGTGCCATAGCTTTTTCTATTCACCAACTTCTGCATCCATATGCTTGCCTTTTAGTCAATTTGGTGAAAAATATTTTAGGATTCGTGCAAGCATCAACAAGGAAACACTGTTAATCCGTACGCTCCAACGACTTAAAATTAAGTTTTAAAATGCAAATCTATACTTTCTATATAATTAGTACCCACTAACAATTATTATAAACTAACTAAACCTCAACATGCAAGCATGCCACACCATCACACACCAGCAATTACTCCCTCCATATTTTAATTAATGTATGACGCTATTGACTTTTTGACCAATGTTTAACCATTCGTTTTATTCAATCTTTTTGTGAAAATATGAAAATATTTATATAATTCTTAAATAACATTTAATGATGAATCAAGTCACAATAAAATAAATGATAATTTCATAAATTTTTTAAATAGGACGAATGGTCAAACATCGGATGAAAAGTCAACGGCGTAATACATTAAAATATGGAGGTAGTACTATTCTAGCCTATTTAAAATCCCATGCAAGCATGCCACATCTTCCCTCACTAGAAATTACTATTCTAGCATATTTTAAATCCCATGCAAGCATGACACATTATCTACAATATTATATTATAGAGATCGATAAATATGTGTCAAATCATATTCCTCACATTATTTTCTCTACATTTCAACTTTCATCATTTCGACAATATTTAATATATACTCATCCATGATTTCCGTAGCAAAGCGCGGGGTATCACCTAGTATTAACTATAACTTGTACCCCAGCCACTAATAGCTCATAGGATCCCTTTTTCTCAATTTTTTGAGTTGTTTTTGCTCCTCGGAGAAAATGTCACATGGTGGCTATTTTGAAAAAAAATATCCTCGTGTTTGCATGTAATATCCAATGTCCTCGAACCGATTGACGCCCCGTTGTGTTGTATCTGGAAAAACCCCTTGTCTTTTAGAGAAATACAACGTGAAGAAGAAAAAATTCTGCTTCCACGGATAACGATGTAAACATAAAAACCACAATGGATTTTTCGAAAAACAACCGCATCTACCCCCACCCAAACCCTATCCCTCGCTGTCTCTCACCTACACCCACCACGCCCCACCCGCGCTCCACGCTGATGCCGGCGTGGGGTTGCCTCCACCGCCGTCCATCTTTCCACCATTGTCGTTGTCCATTCTCCTCCCGTTGCTGCCTTCATTGTCCGTCTTACCCCCCGATACCGGCCACAACCCCCCTCCCGCTACTGTGTGCCCTTTCTCCACCATTGCTGCTCTCCCCTTAACCCTAGCAGCCGCTCGACGGAGGCCTTAGCAGAGGGTGGAGGGAGAGAAGGGAGGGAAGGAGGGCTCGATGCATGGTGGAAGGGCTCAGTGGTAGTCAATCCTCTCCCCTCTACTATGTCTCCTCCTCCGATGCACCAACACATTGCCTTGTCCACCGCCGTCCATTCCTCGTAAGTTAGTAGGTTGACGAAGAGAGGCGTAGATTTTTATTTAGATTGATTATGAATTCGTGGAAAAAACGATGGATCTCAACGAAAAAAAAATGATGAGGATGATACATGCTTTATCACACAGATTATTATGCATGTTATTATGAACTCATGGTTCAATATTAATTAATTAATTTCACGTAAGACTACTAGAGTTGATAACATATATAATATGCATGTCGTTATATATGGTTTAATATTTCACGTAAGACTATAATAATGCGATGGGTTAGAGTCGTGACAAAACAAACGTACGTCATCGTTTTACTAAAGATGAGGTTTGATATCGACCTCCACCAATCATAGAGCAGGTTAACTTCTCCGAGATATATATATATTATTATTGCATAATGATTTTTCTCCATTGGAAAACTATCTAGCAATATAGGAGCTTGCTAGGGCAAGGAAAGAATAAAGATCCATGCGCTAGCTAGGAGTTGTAAGACACTCCAAGATTCGTGCACACGTTTGTTTTTCATTTTCACCCACAGAATTTCAATAATCTTAAGATGTTGATAGATGTACCTGTAGGGAAAATTAATACTTCCTCCGTTTCATATTATTAGACTTTCTAGCATTGCTCACATTCATATATATATATATATATGTGTGTGTGTGTGTGTGGGGGGGGGGGGGGGGGCGGCGCCTAGATTCATTAACATCTATATTAATATGGGCAAAGGTAGAAAGTCTTAACCTGAAAGATGTAGCATTTCCCATGCACGGAGAACTGAAGGATAGCCCATTTGGTTATGTTATTTTTGGTGGATCCTGCCCCACCTGGGTTTAATTAGTCCTAAGCTTTTCAAGCGTGCTCATATTTACATCTAGTTATTCTTTCAGTGTTAGGATATATAGTTAGACGCACGTGGTGACGTTATTAATATTAAGATACGTTGGTTCAGTTTTTATGAATGTGCTTATATATAGGAGCATGATTTCAAATCATGGACAATTCGATTGTATGAACACATTATAAAATAATTTAATTCTCACAATCAAAACTACAGTTGTGATCTTTGGCACCTTGTTGGGGGGCTATACGAATGTAGGGGCATGCATGCTAATAAGTATTAGTGTGGTACTCCCTCCGTTTCGAAATGTTTGACACCGTTGACTTTTTAGCACATGTTTGACCGTTCGTCTTATTAAAAAACTTTTGTGAAATATGTAAAATTATATGCCTACATAAAAATATATTTAACAATGAATCAAATGATAAGAAAATAATTAATAATTACTTAAATTTTTTGAATAAGACGAACGGTCAAACATGTGCTAAAAAGTCAACGGCGTCAAACATTTCGAAACGGAGGGAGTACTAACTGATCAAGAACATTATCTTGTTGTACTACAAAGGCGACAAAAAAGCTCTGCAGATTCGGTTAACCCCCCTTGCACCTTAGTACTGTTGCATCAGTACATCGTTTGTTACAACTCTTTTCAATTAATAATTAATAAACTACTCCCTCCATTTCAGATTATAACATGTTTTAACTTTACTCAAAATCAAATTGCTTTAATTTTGACTAAGTTTATAGACAAATATAGTAATATTTACACTACCAAATTAGTTTTATTAAATTAATAATTAAATATATTTTTATAATAAATTTATCTTGGGTCAAAATATTACTATTTTTTTCTATAAACTTAGTCAAACTCGAAGTAGCTAGCTAGATCGCCGATATGATGATCAATCAGCTAGCTGATCAATCGCGCGGAAACTCCTCCTGCCGATAATAAAGGGAGCACAAATCCATTTTGACCGAAAGTACACAGTACGAGACATACTCCGTTCTTTTTCTTAATTAAGATACGGATTCTAACTTAATTTTCGTTAGCATATTTTTCAAACGGCTAAACAATACATTTCGTGAAAATTTTCTATTTAGAAGTTACTCAAAAATATCTAATAAATCATTTTCAGGTTTAAATCAACTAATTACATGTTAATGGTTTTTTTTCTTAACGGCGCCTCGGTGTAAAAAAAACTCCCCTTAAATTAAGCACGGGCTATATCAAACATGAAGGAATTGAAAAAGAAAAAGAAAATCCAACCAGCTCAAGCTGAGCCGTGAAGTGAACTGTACATATATAGTACTGTAGACCTATAGTATGGTTGCTGCGATGCTGGCTCTGAGGAGTACAAGCTGGCCTGATGTCTGTATATATTGGTCAGTCTCAGCTCGCTCCCTGTGGCAATGAATTATACTCGCTCCGTCCCAAAATATAAGTATTCTTAGGCTGTGTTTGGCACCCTATTTTTCCAACCCATCTCCCTCGTTTTCCACGCACACGCTTTTCAAACTGCTAACGGTATATTTTTTGCAAAAAATTTCTATACGAAAGTTGCTTAAAAAATTAGCTAATACTTAATTAATCATGTGCTAATGGACCGTCCGTTTTCCGTGCGGTGAGAATGAGTTTCCATCCTTGAGATGCGAACACAGCCTTAGCATAGCGACAAGTCAAACATTTTTAACTTTGACTATTAATAGAAAAAAAATAAAAAAGATCAATCATGTAAAATTGATGTTACTAGATTTATCATTAAACAAACTATCATAATACGCAACTCTTTTTATTTAAAACATGTTACTTTTATAGATATTGTTGGTCAAAGTAGTATCTCGTAGACCGTGTCGAAGTTTAAAAATGCTTATATTTTGGAACGGAGGGAGCAGTGGTTAATGTTAGAATATGTGTTTGGATATATTAGCTAGTGATCTTATTAACTACAGTTAAATTTGGTGGGTGAAATTAGAGTTGAACTCTATAACCCGATAACATTTTAAATAAAGAGAAAGGTGCCACAGTATAAATACGGCGATACATAGAGAGAGAATGGTGGCGAGGCCATGGACTCTTAGCAGCTAGGTGTAATGTTGATTGAAAAAGTTCCTATATAATCAGAGCTCTGAAGATGTATAGTTCGACTGAACTTCGTTAATAAATACCGTGTGTTCCTATATCATTATTTGTTATGTCTGAGTTGATCGATGTCTAACTTTTATAACAAGTAAAAAAGACCATAATGCAATTTCATTATCTTAATTTCATCTGGTCTCAGAAAAATACATTACCTATGAAAGTATGCATGTATTAAGTTTGGCGCTAGATGGCGATGTACGTATGCGCACATGTGTCATATATATTATCGCTGGCTATACCAATAAAAATTAGTATAAATAAACTGCAAAATCAAGGGACAAGATATCCCTTTCTAGATTATTTAAGTCATAATATTATATATTAATGCTTCTTCTTCTTCTCCTTCCTTTTTTCCCTCCGATCCTCGATCTGCATACCAAATATATATAGTAGATCTCACTTATCGGTGAAGCCTCAGGTCCATGTCATGTTATATTTATTGAGATGACAAGGTGATGGAAACTACTCATCAGAACAAAATAAAATTGGCTAGTGGTTAACGTAAATATATCTCCTTGATTTTCAGCATCTTGAATCATTTGGGCAATAATAAACTATATATTAAATGTTGTTGTATACTTCCTTCATCTTAAAAAAAAAAGATAAATGTGACATATCTTAATATAACGAATCTGAACAGATTCCTTTCAAACGTAGAAAAATAGGTGGAACTCTTTCCAAACAACATAACATGCATGGAACATCACAAACAATGGGATATACTCGGTAGCTTCAGCGTACAAAGCACAATCCCTTGGCTCGATCAAGAGAAACTATGAATGGTCGATATGGAAACCTTAGGCCTCATGCAAATGCAAATTCTTTGCCTAGCTCATGTAAAATAGATTTTGACGTCCTACAGGCTAGCGGCAAGGGGATAGTCAAACAAAACATATTGTCCACTATATCAGCGTGTCCTAAAGGCATCATTCCATCTTCTCGTAGAGTGAAGATACACAATAAGGATCTGAAACATGATTGCAACTTGGATCACACAAGAACAACTCAAACCGGCATCATGGAAGCCAACGATGTTTCATGAGTGGTGGGAAGTTTTGGTCTTGTGCAAAGGAGTGCCCAAACAAGGAACGCGAACCCTCCTACTGCTAACTTATTGGGAAATATGGGAAATATGGAAAGAAAGAAATCAATGAATCTTCCAGCATAAAGAACTCTCGATGATGTCGTTTATTACCAAGATAAAAGAGGAAGGGAAGACTTAGGAGCGCGTGGGAGCAAAGAGACTAGAGGAAATTTTACCTTAAGCCCTGTATATTCTCCTTTAGGTTTTATACCTGTAAATACTTTTACTCCTCTATTTGATAAATTAGCATCGTCTTGTACCAGTTCGTTGAAAAAATTAATTTAAAAGCAGCGGTTCCTATTAGATGGGGGCAATACTAATTGATAGATATATAAAAAGTAGGTCAAGTTTTCAACATACCAGGTAACAATTTGGAGGAAAATTGTTATATTATTTTTTAAAAAAAATCGTGAAATACTAAAAAGAGTCATTTTTTGGTCAGAAGATCATCCTACCAGGAACCACCAAGACACGAACTTTTTTATTTTTTTAATTCTAAAAATAAACTATTTGAAATTTTTTTATTGAAATAAGATGGTGAGCTGGCGTAACTAAAAGGTTTTAGTTAAAATTCTATACTAAGTTTTAGAAGAGTTTATTTTTAAAATTTAAAATTAAAAAAGTTCAAAAATTTTAAAAAAAATCCCAGGACACCATTAAACCTGAAATTTCAGAAATTTAACTCCATAGTTGTGAACGCTAGCTAGCTAAGATGCTTCTACCAATAATTGCATTTGATTTAATTTTGCAATTTTGCCATATTGGAGTGACATAATACTATGTCTACCTACAGTCTGAATTCTAGAGATCTCTTGCATATGTGTCTCATGCATATGCTTTTGATCAGCTCCCCATGCATAATGCACATGATGCCAGTATGAACCCTAGAAACGGTCACTGAGCCTCCACAGTTAACTATAACAAGCTACCCGTAGCTAGCTAGTCTAATTAATTGATTAATTAAACTTATTTGTATTATATAATATAAGCTCAAGTTGACTTGGAACGTGGATCAGCACACAAATACACACACATGTATAATCTACGTCTATATATTATATAGTACTACCGTATATATAAATAGTTGCAATCTACTCGATCGAATAATTAAGGCTAGGGCGAGGACGGTTAAATCATGGCTATAGTTTATAAATATATGGATAGTGTCGTGTCAGATCAACAGTTCACTGCAATTATAGCGACTACTAGGACACCTTTCTCTGTGGGGTGTGTAGGTGTAAAAGCGAAGTACACAGTATAACCAATTCTATAATAATTAATTGCCAGGATTAGGCCACACAACAACAGAGAGAAAACTATTCTTCTGTTTGTTCTTCTCTTCAGCTTTTGCTGGCTAACTAGTTTTATCTCTTTTGTAGAAAGAGATGTGTAGTGTGTGTGATGGAGAGAAATAATTAACGAGGAAAAACATACATATACTCCATCCGCCCTATTTTAATTGTAGTTGCGGATTTCTGTGTCGAACGTTTGGCCGTGTGCGGTAGTAGACAAAGAGAGGGAGAAGCATAATATGTCGACGCTGATAAACAAGGATCCATCCATATATGCTAAAAAATGAGCACACTATATATCGTCTACTACCTAGTATAGATCGATCCAGATGCAACTTATGCTTCAGCTGCAAATGCTATCAAGGCAATAATACATATACACACTACTACTACTACTACAACATAATACTACTATACTAGATAGGAGGAGGAGGAGCAGCAACAGATCAATCTGCCTCCAGATTTGAGCAAGAGGCTTTGCTTAATTTGATCTCCAAGCTAGCAAAGCAAAGCAAATCTCAAGGTGTTTAATTTCAGGTAAATCTACATGCATGCATGCATCAGCTTAATTTGCTTGCTTGTTTCTCGCTTCTTGCTTTCGATGCGGCAAAAGAAATAAAGGAAGGAAAAGGATGAGACGACATGTATTTGGGTCACATCTTGTTCCCTCCAGCTGGCTGGCCTCCTCTCTCATGTCGATTCATCCGTGACATCCATGTATCCTCCTCGATCTCAAATTCTCAAATCAGATTCTTTGTTCGCTGTCTCGTCCATATGATTGATGTCTTTGCCTCTTTTGCTTTAATCTTGATTTGTTGGACCTGCTGCTTATTGTCTTTGTTGATTGATTATTAATATTATTCCTCATTTCTCTTCTCTCTCTCTCTCTCATCACAAATTATTATCCGATTTGATTTGTTTTGCGGATTGAATACAATTTTCTTGATCTGTTCCAGATAGGATTGGTTATACACAGATTTTGTTGATATATATTTTGATTGGATAAATTTGGTTGTTGATGCAGTGGAGAGAGAGACGACATGGATGACTCGAGCTTCTTCATGCAGTGGGCGATGGACACGCTGCACCAGCTCCCCTCCGACTCCACCGCCGCCGCAGCCTACGCCACTGACGTCGCCGGCGACAGCGGCGCCTTCCCGTCGCTGCAAGCTCTCCGCAACGCCTCGGCGGCCGGCGGCGGCGGCGGATTCCGGGACCTGACAGTGCAGGTGGACCAGGTCCACCGCGCCAACAGCTGGAGCTCCAGCGACAGCCCAGGCGGCGGCGCTGCCACGGCCGCCGCCGGGTGGTCCCCGCATGTCACCGGCGGCGGCGGCAGGGGGCACAGGCCGATGAGCTGGAACTTCAGCGCGGCGTCGGCGCAGCCGACCACCGAGGATAGCGGCGGTGGAGGCGGCGGCGGAGTAGTTCCGGCGCCGCTGCAGGCGATGGAGACTACCGCGACAGCGAGAGCGGCGGTGAAGAAAGGAGGAGGCGGCGGGTCGTCGTCGTCGGCGGCGGCGCCGGGATACGTGCAGGACCACATAATCGCGGAGCGGCGGCGGCGGGAGAAGATCAACCAGCGGTTCATCGAGCTCTCCACCGTCATCCCCGGCCTCAAAAAGGTTAACTATAGTTTCAATCCATGGATGCATTCTTCTTCTAATTCTCCTCTAATTTCATGCATGATTAGGCTAACAACAAGATAGCTAGTAGATTGCATGTTATTATTACTAGCTAGCTGCACAGTCTAGTACTGATCTACTGTTCAGTGAGCAAATCATCTAATTAACTTGAACAAAAATTAACCCCAAGAGATTTGTGGGCAAATTGAAAGACAAACCCGAAAGAAACCAAATGAAGTACAGAAATCACACGTTTGCAATCTGCAGATCGAAATCACAATGTTGTTGACCGTGTCAGTCGGTCGTCTAATCTACAGAAAAAGGCAGTGCCTAATTAAGCAGCAAGTACAGTGATTAATTAGCTAGATATGATGGATGCTGGTAATAATTGCACTGAATTAATGAGATAATATTGCGTGTGTTCGTGCAGATGGACAAGGCGACCATCCTCGGGGACGCGGTGAAGTATGTGAAGGAGTTGCAGGAGAAGGTGAAGACGCTGGAGGAGGAGGACGGCGGCGGGCGGCCGGCGGCCATGGTGGTGAGGAAGTCGTCGTGCTCCGGCCGGCAGTCCGCCGCCGGCGACGGCGACGGCGAAGGGCGGGTGCCGGAGATCGAGGTGCGGGTGTGGGAGAGGAGCGTGCTGGTGCGGGTGCAGTGCGGGAACTCGCGGGGTTTGCTGGTGAGGTTGCTGTCGGAGGTGGAGGAGCTCCGGCTGGGCATCACCCACACCAGCGTCATGCCATTCCCGGCCTCCACCGTCATCATCACCATCACCGCTAAGGCAAGCTCGCTCTCTAACCATCCTGCATTGCTTTGCTTATATATATGCATCAAATTACCATGTGTAATTTCCAGCTAGAACACATATACTACATATATAGCAAATTAATTAACCTTGATTATTATTAGTAATTACTTGATCCGGAGTCCGGACTCCAACTGATTATTGATGGATCGGATCAAGCTAGATCGATCTCTACATGGTTTGCATACATAGAATTTCTACCAATTCTACAATAATAATGAAGAGATATGTATTATATGCTATATAAAAATATAAAGATATATACATGTTGCTGCATGCAGCTGCTGAAAATTAAGACTACTCTGAGTGCAATTCCATTCCATACATACAATTCACTCCATTCCTGCTATATTTATAAGCTAGGGCCTCAAAATTAATTGGTATGGTGTAAAGTATTAGTAACTGCATTTGTGCTGCAGCTGAGGAAAAAATACTAGTGCACATGTACGTGTTTCTTAAGATTTTTCTCCATTTAATTAACTATATACATCCCTCAAAAACAATTAACTATGTACATATGTTTGTATGGGCAGGTGTACTTTGTTCTGATCTGCAGGGTACTCCATTCATGGGATCAAAAAAATTCTAAAAAATCATTGAGGGGTGAAGAGAGAGTTGTGCATGCGTTCATCCTAAATGGACCAAATAGAATAAATAATATGAATGAAGACTTTGTAGTTTCCATGCAGGCATGCTTCATGCTTTTAAAAATATTTATATGACTTCAAAGACAATTCTGCTGACTAATAAGGGGTAGCAATGTATCTAGAGTGAGAGGCCCTTGTTCAGGGTAAATATATATATGTTGGACTCAAACATGTGCTAGGCTGCTAGCTAGCATGGGAGAGAGCAAGGAATGCAGATATATATAGCATGTGAATTTCGTCTACAGAATGGGTTCTTTTATATAATTGGGGATTGGCTGGGTGGGTGCATGGATTGAAAATAAAGCATATGCTAGACCTATATAATTAGGGATTGGCTGGCTGGGCGGATTTGGTTGGAATTAAGTAGTGGATCCTACGAAGAAGCCCACGGTGAGAAGATGGAAGGAGGATGACTGCGCTTTTAAAGTAGTAGAGAAAACTAGTTGTTACTAGATTTGTGGTTGAGTCATTTAGTGAATAAATCAGTCGAAATGCAGTGTGAAAATTGTTGACAGGTAAGAAATCGACAGCGAGCTAGGTCGAAGAAATAAAAGTTTCTCTAGTACTCCATACATTCACATCCCCTTCTATGATCAGTTTGATCGATCTGTACGGTCTTTGAGCCCCCATTTTATAAATGTTATTGGTGAGAGGCCAACGTGATTACAATTTGATCAATTTACTTATATAGAGCATAAGCTGCCTATAGAAAAAATGTATGCATGTTATTTTCTTCTGAAATTAACCAAGTTGGATTTGTACATTTGTCAGAAACAATATGGCATAGTAGTGCATGCTCTCTCTCTCTCTCTCTCTCTCTCTCTCTCTCTCTGTTATTAATTTAATTTGCGTCATATTGGTTATGATATTCTACCACTCTATCAGGATATATAAAAATTAATTAACATCTTATTTGATCAGTGCTAGCTGGTGATGTATTTCAGGTGGAAGAGGGATTCAATTCCACAGTGGATGAGATCATGAGGAGGCTTAACTCAGCACTACTGGACCAATACAATAATGGTAGTGTTGAAGAAACAGATCAAGAAATAAGAAGAGAGTAGCTAAATTAAGAAGAAGAAGAAGAAGAAGTTTGGTCGATCTCAAGCTATAGCATGCACCCATGCACGCATGTCTCTATCCAAGTGAACACATCTGAGCATGCAAATTAATTAATCCTCTTATCTTTGATGCATGCATGGTACTTGTGGTGAGGAATCTTATATCGACTATAAAAAAAAAACTCTGGAGATCAGACGACAAAACTTATGGTGAGGAATTCCTCGTCAAGCACTCGTGCATGATCTACTAGCTAGTTTCACATCACATTCATGATATGATCGGCCGGCATATATAGCAAAAGCACTGTGAGGTAAATGGTGATGAGGTTGATGCATGGTGACGAGACTTTACTTTATCAACCATGCACTGCACAGCCAATACAAGCTGCAAATTTTGGTCTTAATTTACTTGATGTTTGTTGATCAATCCAAATCATTAATTCAAGAAGAAACCAAAATGATCTTTTGTTTGCATCTTGCTGTGGCTGTTTTCCCAAATTTTGGACGCCTTCGGTATCATGTTATAATATGTTTTAATTTGCAAGTTGCATAATGACTTGCATCATAGTATATATCTACCCCGAGCTAATAATGTAGTATAATAATGATATAGATCGTGTATGCATGGTCAAAACTCGATCATATCTAATTCTAAATAAAATTTCATAAATATCTAAATAATTGGGACTTTTGTGATTCTTCTGAAGGCAGGTATATATGCTATTATATTTATTTAGAAACCCTCAAACATTTTTTGTTTTCAAAATGCACGCACCATATTCTCTGGTACATATCATCCTGACTCGTGCATGATGAGTCATGCATGCAGGAAAAAAACTATACATATATTCATACTAAGCTGTCGGATATATATAGTTTTTCTAATTAATTAAGGTTTCAGTTAGTTCTGCATGACTATTTTAATTGGCCCTCTTTGTTTAAAAGATATTGCGTGATCTCTACAGTACAGCACTAAAGATATCAATTCATGGAAGGATCCTCTCTCGATCGATATGATCCTTCTCTAAAAAAAAGGAAGAAGATATCAAAGTTTTGTGAGTACACAATTAAAGTTGTTGAGATATGCATGCAGTGCAAAGTTGGCACATTGCTGTTCGCATAAAATGCAGCATGTCTTTAGTTGGTAGGACACAAAGCCATGAAGATCTGATCGATCAAGTATATGTATATTCTACATGATCGAAGTTGTTGGTACCCATTTAATATAATCATGTATACATATATATACACATGAATATATATAATTAAACGAACATACACGTGAAAGTGATCATCAATACACAAAAGGAGCTCGATCTCGTCCTTGTTCCCCATCATGGAGTAAAGCGTGATATTAAGAACATGCTAACGATGATTTCGAGGGATTCGATGAGTGTATTAATGTGTGTGTGTTTTGTTTAATTTGGTAGTGACGATTTGAAGCATTAGGGCGATCGATCGATGAACACTGAATATCTTTTTCGGGGACCCGTCCGGTTATTCCCAGACAAAGTCCTCCAATTTCATATTAAGGATGCAGTAGAGTATCAAGCTAGCTAGTAGTAGTTAATTATGATTAGAAGCAACATTAAAAATTACAATTTGATATCAGAGACAGCGCTGCATATCTCAGGAAAGTATATACTACTAATTTTTATGTCTAGGTAAACTTTAGTTTAATTAGCTGATCAAGCCAATCAACGCGACAATTAATTATTATTCAATGTGTAATTGGGCACATGACATGCTGCCTGCCTGCATGGATAAATGGATGAAAAGTTGAGAGGCTTCAATAATTGGTCGATCCATTAGGATCGACATGGTGTCTATAGTTTATTAATTGCCAAAGGCTTGGAGGTTGCAGCAGCTAGCAGTTTATAATATTAGCAACTTTATATTAATTAATTGTCTCATTAGTCATTTCTGCTGGCCGGTGTATGTTCAGTTCTGAATGGATGCATTCTGACTGTAAAAGGCACGTTTTCTCTTGTTTTTCTTGGTCCAGATCGATGCCTTCAATTATTTGTTGAGGGATTAATATTATCAGATCTCAGATTGATGAATTTTCAGGCCTTGAACCTGAATTTCCATGATGGTTAACTACTTGCAGCTAGTATTCCATAATATATATTGATTCCACCTGATCAACTGCAGTATCAAGCAACTGATAATTCACGCATCAAGCTGCCATATATCTGCAATTGCTTGATACTCATTCAGAAAACAGTATCAAAGCAACTGGTAATGCACGTATACCATGACGATGGATTTGATGTGACCAACACAGTAATCTACCTGATGAACTGAACCTTCAGGCCACTGGCTTTCATGCCTGTACGTTTGCAACTCTGTTTTTGTTTATTGAAAATAACTGTAGACGACAGCGTCAGTGTCGCCATTGAAGGTCATTTGCTGCTGCTGCTTTCTTGAGAGTTTGATGTCCCAACCACGCAGGCTTGTTTATACTGTATTTAGGAGCACAGTGTTGTTCAGACCCAAAACAAGTAACCTTGCTTCCAAGATAATATTGTTTTCTCCTGCCATGAAAGCAACAACCCTACCAAACATCACAAATGTCTCACACGTCACATGATCTTGTTGACGTTCTGCATTGGTGCATGAACAAACAATGAAACAATCCACTGTTCCTAACTGTGCATGGCATACTGTTTAAGACTCACCACTTGGTTACTTGATATGTACTCCCTCCGTTTCACAATGTAAGACTTTCTAGTATTGCACACATACATGTAGATGTTAATGAATCTAGACATATATCTAAATACATACATATGTCTAGATTCATTAACATTTAAATGAATGTGAGCAATGTTAGAAAGTCTTACATTGTGAAACGGAGGAAGTAAAATTTAGTTCCGCTTTTCTTTTTCCTCTATAATTTGCAAGTCCATCACAAGATCAAATTACACCTGATGAGATGTTCACTGTCCAGGGAAACATAATTAACAAGGCAGAGATCAGAGCAGGGTTCCTTTTTATTCAGAAGCAACTTTTATTAGCAGACTTGTGTTTTTGCATCTGCTACAGCTGTATAAACATCGTGTAGGCAGCTTTTACATTTGAGACAAGATGATACAAGTGTTCTTCCCACTCCCCAGGAAGCAAAGACACAGCCTGTGTATTTCCATGTTGAACTAAATTGGGGCATTCCAAGATGGCCTCACTTGTTGATGAAAGCGACCCCCTTTTGGATACTCTCGGCCAGCTCCTTCTTAGCCTTCTCCAGTCCAGCTCTGCATGACAGCGATGTATGAAGATAATCAGTAATGCAGGTCAATACAGCAGTAGGATATATCAAATCTTAATTGGCTGTGGACCTAATGCAGCATCATATATTGTCATATATATGCCGCAGAGGCTTTCAATTCAGACGCAGCGTGTTCTTGTCGGAGGGGTCATATATCCTGCAGTTCTACAGTATGGATATGAAGAGATAACTTGGCAATAGTATTATTTATATTGCAATGTGAAGCCATACAATCTGTAGTGGGGCATCTCTACTTTCAGGACTCTTTCTAAGCACTGTTATACGGCCGCAGTCTGCCATGATTATGCATTCATATTTTCAGCAGTATTTTTCACTTTCAAAAGGGGGACTTGTCAGTATTTGCTATGAGCTACTAAATGCAAGTAATAGTACTTGAGCCCAGTCCAATAGAAACCATTAGGCAGACTTCCAGTCAGTATCTACTGATCTGGCAATCAAGTCATGAAGGTTTTAAAGACTGTTATGAGCTGGCGATATAAGCGTTGTGCGCTACTAGAAGATAGCTTGATAATTACACAGTGTGGGGATTTAGGATCAACATCATTGAAAAGCATATAAGAGCATGTAGCACTAAATATGAGTGCATGTTATGCATGCCAAATACTGGAAAAGCATACAAACCTTTCGAATTCATTCAATGGACCAAGTGATAAGATCTCCTCGATGCCACAGCGACCTAACCGCACTTTGGATGCAAAGAAAGGCAGCTCTGTCACCTTCAATACCCACCGCAAGCAAAATTTGCAAATTAGAAATATATGTTCACACAAATGACAAATATAACCAGCATAAAAGGGAGAAAAGAAACCTGAGAAGCTACAAAAGAGCACTCCACTATCCCAGCGTCGCCACGCAATCCTCTCAAGCAAGCATCTGCAAATTTAGAAGCTGCATACGCCTACAAGAAAAATTGTCCATGTTAAATCTTAATTGTTCTGATAAAAGAACTAACCTTCATACGCTAATACGCATGTGACAGAAACCAACCATTGAAAGGGTTGCAGACCCCGCTCCAGCTTTAGCCTACATGGATAATAGGAAGGGGGGAATTAAAATGCTCAGTATTAGCAACATATAAACATTGAGAAACCAACAGTACACAGGAATCGCCAATAGGGAACAACACATTAAACTTCAGCCAACAAACAACTCTGTAACCTCCATAGAAAAACATTTACCGTTAGACAGACTACTGTTAAACTTTCACCTAGCAAAAGCAAACGTAAGCAGAAAAATCTAGAACATGGGAGGCCTTTATATTGATAAATGAAGAAAGGGGGATTTCGACACTTAAACATGCATTGAACTAGTAGTTTTCTGCCAACAACATGAAATGTATGCAATATGGGCAAACAGACATTCAAGGCATATTTAGTTAAAGTTCGACATGCACTTAATACTTGACTTTGTTGTTAACACCATGAAATTCATTTAACTAATATGCATATGTACAAGGATTGAAAGTATCCATGCTATAAGTGGTCACTTATATTCAAACAAAATTAGCATGTTGATTCTTTTCCAGATTTATTAACTTTCAAGTCAAACAACTACAACCATTATGCATGATACATATCAGGGACTGTGAAACCAACTTCCCTTTCTTCTTTATGAATACAATTCTAAACATGCATCATTAGATGATAAAGAAAAAATCATACCTCGACTACTTCTGTCCCACCATTCTGTATGCGAGTGGTAAGATAACTAATTTCTTCTGAGGTGAATGAGCAGGGAGGATTCACCTAGGGGGAATAGTAGTAAAATTCCATCAATCTTTTGAAAAAATAAACAGGGTAACATTGATCCAATACTAATTGTCTATATCCAGAAAAACTAATTTGTCCTACATATGTGGCTCAGATTTCAGATTTGCAACAATGGAAGGTATTCCTAACCTGTGAAAGGAGTGGTAATATTGTTACTCCTGCATGCCCACCAATGACAGGGACATTTACATCTCTGGGGTCAAGCCCAAGAACTTCTGCCTGTAAACAAAACAAAGACAAAAAAAAAAAATGAGAAACTGTCCATGTAAAGTTAGTACAATGATATACTACAAAGCAAACTCTGTTGAAGTTCATACCACAAAAGTATTGGCTCTCACTACATCAAGTGTCGTCACCCCCAAAAGGCGCTTAGGGTCATATGTCCCAGCTTTCTTAAAAACCTCAGCAGCAATCGGAACAGTAGAATTGACAGGGTTGCTGATCACATTCACAATTGCATTGGGGCAGCATTTTGCGATTCCTTCACAAAGAGTCCGGACGATTCCGGCATTGATGTTGAACAAATCATCCCTTGTCATCCCAGGCTTACGAGGAACACCAGCAGGAATGATCACAAGATCCATTCCAGTAAGGGCATTTTCCAACTGTGGCTGGCCCAAGAAACCACGCACCTGTAGATTTGAGACCTTAGCATAATTAAATACAATGATCGAAATACCTTTTACGGTTCAATAAACAGATGAATAACTATAGGAATACCACATGGTGATAAAAAAAGGATATCTGGAAACTACAAAGCTGAAATCTAATAATAGTTAAAATACTTTAAATATGCATGAAGGCTACGACGTATTGCTAGCAGTATTATATAATATCTGTATTTTGATCAACAGTAGCCGCTCAATGATCAGACACCAACTTAGTACCTTTTAAGTTATTAAGATATGACTATCAGATAGACAAGTTTCATTGGAATTACTTGTTTCTTTCATTCTGGATAATCAATGGTTTGAAAAATTAAATTTGTCAGAACTAGATTGTCTTCTGGATGATTCACATGTTATGTAAGGAAAATATAGATGAAGCATATGTACCCTCCCTCAAGACATACAACTGAAAATTATAGAAATTGCAACTGACCATAAAAGTAGTAGCAAAATGCAACGGTTACAGAATGTGGTATTTCAATTATGAATAGGGGGATACTAAACATAATGTCAAGGAACATACCACAGCACCAGTGTTCATGTGGCTAATGTCAGCTGTGACACCGGGAGTGTTGACAACATCGTACAGATGGAGCACAGAAACAAGAGGGTTCATCTTCATGAGCAATGCAAGAGGCTGGCCAATCCCACCAGACGCTCCCAAGATGGCGACCTTGAAACCCGGAGCGGCACCTTTTGCCCGGCAATTGGAGCCCCTCAGGAGGGGTGATTCCTCCATCTTCACATACACCAAACAGAGAAAATTAAGCAGGATAAAACAGATTATAAACAGAGAGCAGAGAACATGGAAGGGTAAGCTTTTATCTTCCGGCCATATTTGCATACCGTGTATGCTTGTAAACTTCCTAGATCAATGGCTAACTATCGTTTTAAAGTATACATAATAAAGGAAGAGCATGGTTGTAGTCGCTACAAAAGTGGCAGAGTCAATTGCTGTTTATTGAACAAATGCTGTTCTAACAAGGTTTCTGGTCAAAATGTTCTCCCCTGAAAACTTACGGCTAAGCAGAGAAGGTGCAAAGTAGCATAATTGTCGATCACATTCCCTACTCACTATCACTAGTAGAAAGCAAATAGCTATAAGGGTAAGATCCTAGTATCAGGGTTCAAAGTTTCAATCAGAAACTAACAAGTCGTCCAGAGAGCATATCATCAGAAAAAAATGTAAGTCAATTTTCAGTTCACTTGAGAATCTGTGGGAAGTAGCAAAACCAGAGATTTGGTTCCCCCAAAGCTAGCTAACGGGACCTCCTCCAAGTCCAGTAAAGTTGGTAGCTTTACACTAGTAGTACATTGCAAGTGATAAACTAAAACATAATTCGATCAGAAGCACTGTGAAATCGGTACCCCGCGGCGTAGGTAATTCAAGAAGGAGATCCAAACTAAAAGTAACTGAATAGTAGTAGTAGTAACCTAGGTCCAGCCATCCCCATGGTTGACTCGCCACCTCCCCAATCTCAACTCCCCGTAATCCCCAAGCTTGCAAGAAGAAGGTAACCTCGGATACTAGATGAGCAAGATCATCTTGCAGCTTCCCGAAAAGCAAACGCGCAGCAAACCAAACTAAACTAAACCTGAATTAAATCGGGTGGAAAAGAAAAAGAGGGTGGGGGAGAGAGAGAGATGGGGATCTGGGCGGCGTGTGGGGTGCTGACCTGAGAAGCGGGCGGGCGGAGGTGGGAGGCAAGCCTCTCCATCCGCCTTGCTGCTGCTGCTGCGTCCTCCATGGCCGCCGGAAGAACGGAAGCGGCGCGACGACGAAGAGTTGGTTTGGTTTGGTGGCGCGGGAACGGCAAGAGAAATACGAGAAAACTGGAGGGCTTTCTTGTAAAAGTAGTGGGATAGAGAGCGTGTAAGGGTGGGATACGTCTTCTACACTAGGGAGGCGTACTCTTGCTGGATAACTATAACTAGCTGTGTCGTGTACGTTTCCGTTCCGTTTGGTGTGACGCAATATGAATAATATTGCCAGTATGTGCATCATCGCCGTCATAGCCTAGTCTATCTGTTTTTGTATACTTTATACTATTACGGGTAGGAGATTTTTATGACCAAACTAGTAAAATGTTCTTAACGAAAATGTATTAATATGTTATCCATCTTTTTTTATAGAAAATATTTATCTTAATATGATTTTTTATGTGACTATTTGATCCTTTTAATATTAAGAAATTCAAAGGGTAACTTGTAAAATTTACAATGGAAATAGGTGAGGTGACATATTTACGAAAAAAAATTGAAAATATACTGTTTATGGATTTGTTTTGCAAAAATATACCGGATGGAGAATGATTTGCACAAATATACTATCGGTATCGCGGCTTGGAAGAGCGATACCGAGGTTCGCAAGAACAAAATGCGATACCGCCACGCTATCGCACTATCAACTCGCGAGGGTGCATTTGAGCTGGCGGTGTCGCTTGTGGAAACAGCGAGACCACCACGATATCGCTCTTTCATAGAGCGAGAGTGCCACGTGATGGAACCGACCCGTTGTCGCGCCGGTATCGCGGTGTACAAGAGCGAGAGTGAAATCGGTCTCGTAATCCCGACGCACGAGACTGAGCATGTCATGGGACCCATATTGGCGAAACGACCGGACGCGAGTGGGCCGCCGGTCTCGCAAGCGCAAAGCGTGAGACCGAGACCGATATCGGTATCACTGTCCGAATGTGCAAGACCGACGCGCGGTATCGCTCTGGCAAAGCGAGAGAGCGCTTTGCTATCGCTCAATCAAAAATGGATACGTACATATATCGTTAGTGAATCCGGGCGCTGAATCGTATATACGAATATGCATACACATATATATAGCCGTCAAATATATCATCTTCTTGTTGGCTCATGCATGTATACGTTTATACATTGGCCAAGCATGCATCTATATATGGCTGAACACACATATAGATGGATATATACCAGTATGTGCATGGCTCATGCATTCCATTAGCAGGTGGGACGCGCTCTCGAGACTGCTTGGGGCCCGCCGGTCTTGGTTCACGTCAGACGGCCGCGAAATCGCGGTACGATCGTGCGAGACCGAGTCGTTCTCGCGCTTTTGGAATGCGAGACCGATGCGTTAGCGCTCTCGCGGTTTCAATTAGCGATAGCGCTGTTTCAATTAGCGATAGCGCTGGCATCTTCGCTAATTCATTATGCGATATCGCGCTCTCGCTTAACCAAAGTGCGACGGCGGTATATTTTCTCAAATCTTCCCCTAATCAGTATATTCTTGCAATTCCGGTAAAAAAAATTGTATATTTTCAAAAAAAATTCACATATTTACTACCATAGTATAGATAAGCAGTCGTCTACTCCATCCAGCATACACAATACAATCATAATTATTTCTAGCAATGTATACTTAGTTTGTAGTTAGCTAGCTGGTTTAACTTGTCAGGTAACTAATCAATATATATATATATATATATATAGTTTTTTATTACTTTTTTTTTTAACTTTTGGTCCGACGTAATCCATTGTTAAAAAAACTTTTTTCACAAAAAATATGAACAAATATAGTTGGGCCACTAGTGCCGGTGGGTGTTCAATTTTGATGGGCTTAATTATAGCCCAACTTGATATATAATCACCTGGAGCTGGAGGCCTACGGCATATGGGCCCAAAATCATTGCTGCGAAGGAAATCAGGTAGGCCCAGCCTGCTACTCTAAGATCAGTGCTTGATGATGATTAGTACTACTACCACTAGCGATTCTGATTTTCTGAATCGCAAGCATCCAACAATAGTTTTTTTTTCCACATATATAAGGATCACTACTATGCTTAAGTAGTGTATTATTATGCTCAGATTAACTGTGCTTAATAGTTATTATCTGATTATCCCATCCATCCATCTCCCAACATTGCTAACTCTAGTATAGTATATACAGTGTCAAGGATTAAAAAAACAATAGTAAGTCCGAGCAAGTCTAACTTAATTATTCGTTATTATTGCCTACTACTAGTTAATTAATTTATGAAATAATAATAACCCATACAGATCCATGGATCAATTCATTTGTCTGTCAGGATCAGCTAGCTGGTCAAACCTGATCAATATGCATGAATCTTATGTAGGGTTGCTCATCAGCATCGATCTGTCTGTCTACTACTATTTGCTTGCTTAATAGTGGAGTAGTAGTTGCAGAATTTCTGCAAACTGATGGAGACACAAAAGCTACTGCTTAACACTGCAGCCGGCCAAACATCTCATGCGCTGCATCTCAGAGATTAATTTCAAACAAGGGCCTTTGCTTTCACTTTCACATGCATGTTATCGATCAGTTTGGATTGCGACAAATTCACGGGAAATGGGGCCTGAACAAATTGTGTGTACAAGTGGCATTCATGTTTGGTTGTGTTTAGTTCAGCGTAAAGTTTGGATTTTGGTTAAAATTGGAGATGATGTGACTGAAAAGTTGGGTGTGTATGACAGGTTGATATGATGGAAAAGGACTGAAGTTTGGATCCAAACTTTGGATCTAAACACATCCTTTGTGTATTCATATTTCCATTTACATTCAAGGTAATTAATTAATTTAACGAAGTTGATTAGTTTCTGCTGGATTTGTGTACATTTTCTCTGCAAACTTATATTGTGGCACCAGCAGCCTGCTAATTAATTAACTGAACAAGGATTACTAACACAAAGGGGGGTGGCAGTACATATATATAGCATCACATTATACTGTAATATACATGAAGGAACCGATTATTTTAAAAAATATAAATTTAAGAAGCATCTTGAGACATGAAGTGTGTTGGAGCTGGCATGCATAAGCGCGACACGATCAATAGAACACCAGGTTGTGTTGATGCTTTCGGTAGTTAAGTATAGAAACTCTCTTTCCACCCATGTAAAACGGAATAACTTATTACCATATGATTGATTACATATTAATTAAAAAAAACTTAAAAAATAGATTAATATGAATTTTTAAAATAACTTTTCTAAGATTTTTTTTAAAAAATACACTGTTTAAATAGTTCGGAAACGTGCGGTTGGAAATGAGAGATACAAACACAGCTAGCGAAACGCAACATTGATTTTCCCTTTTTCTTTATTAGATAACATATGCATACGCGCACACATCAATACACATCACCACACACACATTTCACAGAACATAACATTGGTTGATATATAAATATAAATATATACTGTATGTATCAATGTGTGAATGCTAGCAAGGTGCCGTTATATCTTTTTGAAATTTTGACGAGGGTCGTCTCGTTAGTTGCTTGATCTTTTTATCATGTTCTCAAGAGTCAAAAAAGGGTCTTGTTTGCAAAGAAATTAAAAAGAGAAAAGGTGTAATAGTGGGGTACATGCACATGTGGTGCTAGATATATCTATAGGATCATCACTAGTGTCCTTTTAGTTAGTGCGAAAACGACACATCAGTATATATATGAGATACTTATAGCATATTTTGCTTGTTTAATATAATTTGTCCCATGCATTCTATGTACTCCATCAAATAGCAAAACTTAACCCAGTGGTGAAAGAAATTAATTAACCAAACTAATTAAGAATATATATACTCGCTTGCTGGGATTATTCTTACACTAGTTCTTCCGAGGATGATCCCATGCATCGAATGTGTCAGTACTGTCGCTCTCATACCAGCACACAAGCAACAATTTAGAATTTTAGATAATGGAATCAAACAACCAATTAATATGAAGCAAGTGTACTATAAAAAAATATAAGCATATGCAAACCTACGTACATTACATATGGCTAGAGCCTAGAGGGAGCATATGCTTGTGCTTATATAACTTATATTTTCAAAACTAGACTAAATTAACTTCTATATAAATTAAAATGCTCTCGTGCACTGACATATATATGCATGGCTACAGGTACTCTCTCCATCCCAAAATAAAGATATCTTTGTAGTAGCTATATTTGAGATAGGGGAAGTAGATTAATACTCATGTGTTATTTTTTTTTTGAATGACTAAATAGACATGATTTGTGATAATTATCTGAAGGCACAAACAAATAAATTAATTATTATATATGAAGTTAAAAATGAATTTAAGACAATATCATAATAAATTCATATATAAACAGTTTTTGAAAACATCACACCGTGTAGATGTTCGGAAACATGCACGTTAATCCACTGAGATTTATATTTATCTGCGTGTTCTTTCAGCTACTTCACCGTATTATTTTCGTGAATTATTTGCTCAACGTCTTTCAAATACATATTTTCTTATAAAACTTTCTTCTAGCGCACTTCAGTTCACTTGTTATTCTAACATATTTATTAAGCTTATTTTCTAAAACATTTAATTTATTACTATAATTAATTAAATAACATGTTGTAATAATCAAGTCTGTTATAAACGGGGTAGGCATTGGCACCATATATATATATATAGTTGAAGATCAAAAGCACACAATTAATAATGAGGTAAACTATGCACGCTACAGTTTTAATTTGCAGTTATATATATGTTGAGTTGGCATGACGACATACAAACTGCATGCGTGCACTAGTCGGTGTTAATTTGGAAGCTTGTGTGGTCACTCAGATATGGCTATAGTGGTGTGGTCAAGCCATGCTCATCAGCTTTGCACTTGTAGTAGTTGTTTATATTAATTGTGTTTTTTAATTGCGTTAATTATATTTGTCAGTGATGATCTGTTAAGCACCACCACCGGCATATATATCTAGAAATTATAGGGTCTACATGCATGTATATATGAGATAAACCACCATGAGGATATATAAATAATACATACATGCACTTTGTTGACTTGCACGTACGTCTAATTTTCATGCTGTCCTAAACTAGCCTGCAGCCACCCTGATCCTTATATATGATGCATAATAAACTAACGTAGGCAAGCTATAGTCTTGTTCTTCTTCCTAATTTAATTTCTGTACATCATTACATAATACCGATACGAGTTTTCTTTAATTTCACATACGCTCTCTGAATATTTAGTCTCCGTGGCAAGAGAAAGAAAAAAAACATTCTTAAAACAAAAAAAAAACGAGTAATAGATTTCTCAACCATAGGACTAATTGAATTCCATGAATATATATATATATATATATATATATATTTGTAGTATCATATCATCTGAATTTTTGCACAGATCAACAGAAGCTGCTAGTGCTACCTATATCATGTTCATTACCATTTTATTAATTGTACTTTCATTATCACATCTTTTTGGTGAGGAATTCTTCCAGTTTTTTTTTAAAAAAAATCCACTACGCACGGAAGTCACATTGTATTAGTCTTCCTTGTGATTATTTCCTTTTTGACTTGATTGTAAATATATGGCACATGAGGAAGATAATTAAGTTAATAATTACTTCCTTAGTGGGCAATACCTGGAAAATTGACTAAAGAAAAGAGCATTGTGTCTGCTTTTGTGATGCATGCATGTAAGTGGGACAAAATGGTGGAGCACCAAGATGAAACTAACAAAGATTGCATGGCATCCATGTGATTGTGATGCCCACATATAGCTAGACTGACAATAACATTTACCCACCATAAAATTTTACAAACAGAAAAGAAATACAACAAATAAAGCAGCAGTTTAATTATTATTAGGGGATCTTTTACAGTTCATGACGAGATCAGGGTTCTGTATATCGGCTTGCGCATTTCTTCTGGGGGACCGATAGAAAAGGAATTACGGACCGAAATAAGTCAGTATTCGAACAAATTTTGGTTAAATTTGAATATAATTTGCTTGATTCAGAAAATTAAATATTTCGACTGACATAATATTGTACGGATGAAGGGTTCTCATAGCCCCACAATTTTGGGAAATTTGAACCCTGAGGTCATAATAATGTAAGGGCCCCTTTGAATCAAAGAATTTATGTAGCAATTTCATAGGATTCAAATCCTATAGAAAATTTTCCTATTTGGCTCTTTGATTTAAAGGATTGAAGCTTTTCAAATCCTATGAAATTCCTATGGAATGACACATTGCATGTGGATTTTGGAGGAAATATAGCAAGAGCTTCAACCTCTTAGAAAATTTCCTTTGAGTCTATCTCTCTCATCCGATTCCTGTGTTTTTCCTGCGCTCCAATCAAACGACCATTCCTATGTTTTTCCTGTGTTTTGCAATCCTCTATTTTACACTTCAATTCCTATCAGAATCCTATGTTTTTCCTATTCCTCCATTTTTTCAACCCTGCGATTCAAAGGGGGCCCTAAATTTACTTGTTAAAACATACTTCCTCTGTTTTTAAATATTTGATACTGTTGACTTTTTAGCACATATTTAACCGTTCATCTTATTCAAAAACTTTTGTAAAATATGTAAAACTATATGTATATATATAAGTATATTTAACAATGAATCAAATTGATAGAAAAAGAATTAATAATTACTTAAATTTTTTCAATAAGACGAACAGTAAAACATATTTTAAAAAAAAGTTAAATATTAAGAAACGGATGGAGTATACAGTAACATGGTAGTAGTAATTACCATGAGCAGCTATCTTAATCATCTAGAAGCAGGTAAGCTGGTCGTTTTCTGCATGTGTAATTGGACGGCATATAGCATCGCATCGACGATCCTGTAATTCCTGCAGAGAAAGAAGTAGTAGGAGTAATAGAGATTACAGGGACAGAGACAGGTGTCCTGCACTGGTTGCGTTTCAGCTCAATATCTCCATCTTGGAAGCTAGGGAGAAAGAGGTTGGAAAAGAATCGGCAGTGGACATGGATGCATGACAAAAAGAAGCCATCAACACATCAAATCACAAGGGACAGCAACATCAAAGGAAGAAGAAAGCAATAGAGAAATTAAAGGAGAAAAAAGAGAACAAGTACAGTGTTCAAGAGTGGCCATATATGAGAGCACGTGTGGCATTTGGCAACACACACGTAGGTTCATCATCATCAGTCGTTGAGGTCCACTGGCCAGTGGACTGATATATATTAGCAGAGGATCGGAGGAAGGTTACCAGGAAAGCCAAGGATAATCAATTTGGATCCTCTGCAGTGGAGAAGAGAATGCAAAGGGAGCTACAGTGCTTTTGCATTAGGGTGTGTTGTTTGCTGTTGGATCCACATCCAACGGTCTAAAACAAATCGATACAGTAGATGGGAACAGTAAACGGGAATAGTAACCAATCAAACAGCAAAAAGATTACTGTTTACGAAATACTTTGCTACAGTACCCGAACAGTGTTCGGCGCATTGATTCACTGTAGCAGACTCAGAATACTGTAGCTGCAGTTCCTCTCTGCTGGACTGTGGAGGACCTGGATCCAAGGATAATCAATTTGACCTCAATCATACTATATCACTCTGCTTAATTTCGGAAGATTCTCTGAATTGCAACAGTTGAGTGTGTCTTCTTCAGAGAGAAAAACTACAGAGGAATTCAGGTTTTAGGAGGACTATTATTACATTCTAGAAGAAATTAACTAATGTAATCCTGCGGTATAAATATGATCTGTGAGCGGATAATGAAATGGAGTGTGATGCGTGCAGGAATGCAGTGTGTGGGAAAGCGTTGGTGAGAGGTCAAACGCGGCGGCTGCAGCAACTTGCGAGCATTTGCATTCAAGAGTCACACTGAAGATATATACTTCAGCAATTCACCATCCGATCCGACCGAATCATCGCATCACATCTGTCCACGATCGATCGTATATGTGTGTGTATGCGATCTCTCCCACGTCAGATAATTAGCTACCTGTTCCTCTCAAAAACTGCCAAAATTTGAGCCTCAAAATTCAGAGATCCATTACATTTTTGGTGGCCTGCTACAGATAGTGCTCCCTGAATCATCAGAATTCAGTCATCAGTTCCTCGTCTCCGCTCCCCACAAGCCAAGTTGTCGTTGGACTCATTTTTTTCTCCCATTCTTGGATAAATATATGATCGATAGATGATTTTTTTTAAGATAATGATGATCGATAGATGATGTAGTAGTATACTCCTATATCTATCCAGCTGAGATCATTCTTGATCATATATCTATCTCACCATTTAATATATTTTCATCGTTCTTCCATTATTATTAATCAGATATATGTAGACGACTTATAAGACAATAGTAATTAATATCTGCCGCTTAATCATATATAGCTAGATGCTGGTGTGTGCGTTGAAGGGCTCAATCCATGATTGTTGCTTAAGGATATATATTATTGACCCTGCATATCCGTTCCATCTAACTATAGTTAAATTACTCCAGCACACGCTCGTCCAACCTATAGCTGTTTTGCACCAATGGATGCTAGTAATATAAGAATATTAATATTACTACCTTTGTGACATTCTTCAAAAAAAAAATGCTGCACAGGCTAGCACTACTGGAATTAAGTCTCAATACATTATATATTACTCCCTCCGTCCCAAAATAAGTGTAATTTTGCACTATTCATGTCTAACCTTTGACCGTTCGTCTTATTTGAAATTTTTTTATAATTAGTATTTTTATTATTATTAGATAATAAAACATGAATAGTACTTTATATGGGACTAATTGTTTTCAATTTTTTCATAAATTTTTCAAATAAGACGGACGGTCAAACGTTGGACACGGATACCTACGGCTGTACTTATTTTGGGACAGAGATAGTACATCTTAATTGAAGTGGGTTTACAGTTATACAAACGTTCATTAATTAGTCCAAGCCTGGTACGGAGTAGTTAGCATTTCTGCATTTGCTTGACCGTCATTAGACAAGAAACAGGGTTCCACAAACTAGTGCTATCTGGACTGAACCTTTTGCCCATTGGTCATGCAATGTTGCCGTGCATGGAAGCAAAGCAATGGTCAATTACACTGGCTAATTAGCACGCTAGCTTAACACAGTTGTTAGTCCCTCCATTAATTAACAATCTAGCTACTTATCTCAAATAAACAACCATGTACTGATCAGCTCCTATATTGTACCGTAACAATCCATGTCAACCAGTTGTCTTATGGAAAAAATAAATAGTAAATAAAAATAAAATATAAAATCATGTTTAAAATTATTTAATGATAAAATAAAATGCAACAAAAATAAATGACATTTACATAGATTTTTTTAATAAAATGAATGGCCAGATATCGGATAAAAAAGTTTATTAAATATGTGATGCGAATATCGACATACAATATATTAGGATTAGTCTTCGTTTAGTCCTTTTCTATTATGACTCTTAGCTTTTTCCTTTTTTACCTATATCCTTGTAAACGGCATGGGAAGGATACGATGGCTAGATGTATACTATGTGTTCGTAATCAACTCCTCAGTATTACTTATTGGCAATTGGCGTCTGTGGTTTTTTTCCGTAATGATTTTTCATGTAAAAAGTTAAGTCTCATCTATAATGTAAATAGCTTCATATATTTAAGAACAGAGAGAGTGGCAAGTTAAATTAACCACCATTAATCAATAATGTCTCTGTTTGGAACAGTACAAAAATTGGCTAAGCTAAGCTAATTAAAATAGCATCTGTGTGCTGTCGTTGGAACAGGCTGCTGACCTACTTACTACCTTAAAGCCAATCAGTCAGCTTCACACACTGACACCAAAGGAAGCATCTTTCTTCCTTCTCTTCCTCCTCCTCTTCCCGGCAGCCATGCCACCGCCCTCCCTTCTCCTCCCTCCTCTCCTCCTCCTCCTCGGCCTCCATGCCGCCGCCGCCGCCGTCTCCGAGGTGTCGGCCCTCATGGCCTTCAAGAACGCCCTCACCATCCCTCCCACCGCCGCCGCCTTCTTCGCCCGGTGGGACGCCGCCGCGGCTTCCCCCTGCAACTTCACCGGCGTCGACTGCGCCAATTCCGGCGGCGGCGGCGTCACCGCCGTCGCCGTGGAGGGCTTGGGCGTGGCCGCAACGTCCGTCCCGTTCGACGTTCTGTGCGGCTCGCTGCCGTCGCTCGCGAAGCTCTCCCTGCCGTCGAACGCGCTCGCCGGGGGGATCGGCGGCGTCGCGGGGTGCACCGCCCTCGAGGTGCTCGACCTCGCGTTCAATGGCTTCTCCGGCCACGTCCCGGACCTCTCGCCGCTGACGAGGCTGCAGAGGCTCAACGTGTCGCAGAACAGCTTCACCGGCGCCTTCCCATGGCGCGCGCTGGCGTCCATGCCGGGTCTCACCGTGCTCGCCGCCGGCGACAATGGGTTCTTCGAGAAGACGGAGACGTTCCCCGACGAGATCACCGCGCTCACCAACCTCACCGTGCTCTACCTCTCCGCGGCCAACATCGGCGGCGTCATCCCTCCCGGCATCGGCAACCTCGCCAAGCTCGTCGACCTCGAGCTCTCCGACAACGCGCTCACCGGCGAGATACCGCCGGAGATCACCAAGCTCACCAACCTCCTGCAGCTCGAGCTGTACAACAACTCGCTCCACGGCGAGCTCCCGGCGGGGTTCGGGAACCTGACGAAGCTCCAGTTCTTCGACGCGTCCATGAACCACCTCACCGGCAGCCTCTCCGAGCTCCGGTCGCTCACCCAGCTCGTGTCGCTGCAGCTGTTCTACAATGGCTTCACCGGCGACGTGCCGCCGGAGTTCGGCGAGTTCAAGGAGCTCGTGAACCTGTCCCTGTACAACAACAACCTCACCGGCGAGCTGCCGCGGGATCTCGGCAGCTGGGCGGAGTTCAACTTCATCGACGTGTCCACCAACGCGCTGTCCGGCCCGATCCCGCCGTTCATGTGCAAGCGCGGCAAGATGACCAGGCTGCTCATGCTGGAGAACAACTTCTCCGGCCAGATTCCGGCCACCTACGCAAACTGCACGACGCTGGTGAGGTTCAGGGTGAGCAAGAACTCCATGTCCGGCGACGTCCCCGACGGGTTGTGGGCGCTCCCCAACGTCGACATCATTGACCTCGCCAACAACCAGTTCACCGGGGGGATCGGCGACGGCATCGGGAGAGCCGCCTTGCTGAGCAGCCTCGACCTGGCCGGGAACAGGTTCTCCGGCGCGATCCCGCCGTCGATCGGCGACGCCAGCAACCTCGAGACAATTGACATTTCGTCGAACGGGTTGTCGGGCAAAATTCCGGCGAGCATCGGGAGGCTGGCACGTCTCGGCAGCTTGAACATTGCTAGGAATGGGATCACCGGGGCCATCCCGGCGAGCATCGGCGAGTGCTCGTCGCTTAGTACGGTCAATTTCACCGGGAACAAGCTCGCCGGCGCGATCCCGTCGGAGCTGGGGACCCTGCCGCGGCTTAATTCTTTGGACTTGTCCGGGAATGACCTCTCCGGTGCCGTGCCGGCGAGCCTCGCCGCTCTGAAGCTGAGCTCCCTGAACATGTCCGACAACAAGCTCGTCGGGCCCGTGCCGGAGCCGCTCTCCATCGCGGCCTACGGCGAGAGCTTCAAGGGGAACCCCGGGCTGTGCGCCACCAACGGAGTGGACTTCCTCCGCCGCTGCTCGCCGGGATCAGGAGGCCACTCCGCGGCCACCGCGCGCACCGTGGTCACCTGCCTCCTCGCCGGCCTCGCCGTAGTGCTCGCGGCGCTCGGCGCGGTGATGTACATCAAGAAGCGGCGGCGCGCGGAGGCGGAGGCGGAGGAGGCGGCCGGCGGCAAGGTGTTCGGCAAGAAGGGGTCGTGGGACCTCAAGTCGTTCAGGGTCCTGGCGTTCGACGAGCACGAGGTGATCGACGGTGTCCGCGACGAGAACCTCATCGGCAGCGGCGGGTCCGGGAACGTGTACCGCGTGAAGCTCGGGAGCGGCGCGGTGGTCGCGGTGAAGCACATCACCCGGACACGCGCGGCGGCGGCGGCGGCGAGGAGCACGGCGGCGTCGGCCGCCATGCTCCGTTCGCCGTCGGCGGCGCGGCGCACGGCGTCGGTGCGGTGCCGCGAGTTCGACTCGGAGGTGGGGACGCTGAGCTCGATCCGGCACGTGAACGTGGTGAAGCTCCTGTGCAGCATCACCAGCGACGACGGCGCGGCGAGCCTGCTGGTGTACGAGCACCTCCCCAATGGCAGCCTCTACGAGCGCCTGCACGAGGGGCAAAAGCTCGGCGGCCGCGGCGGCCTCGGGTGGCCGGAGCGCTACGACATCGCCGTCGGCGCCGCCCGTGGGCTGGAGTACCTCCACCACGGCTGCGACCGCCCCATCCTCCACCGTGACGTCAAGTCCAGCAACATCCTCCTCGACGAGTCCTTCAAGCCGCGCATCGCCGACTTCGGCCTCGCCAAGATCCTCGACGGCGCCGCCGCCACGCCGGACACCACCAGCGCGGGCGTGGTGGCCGGCACGCTCGGGTACATGGCGCCCGAGTACTCCTACACGTGGAAGGTGACGGAGAAGAGCGACGTGTACAGCTTCGGCGTGGTGCTGCTTGAGCTGGTGACGGGGCGGACGGCGATCATGGCGGAGTACGGGGAGAGTAGGGACATCGTGGAGTGGGTGTCTCGCCGGTTAGATAGCCGAGACAAGGTGATGTCCCTCCTCGACGCCAGCATCGGCGAGGAATGGGAGAAGGAGGAGGCCGTCAGGGTGCTTCGCGTCGCCGTGGTGTGCACCAGCAGGACGCCGTCGATGAGGCCGTCGATGCGCTCCGTCGTGCAGATGCTCGAGGCGGCGGCGATCGGCCGGGAGTTCGCCGTGGTCACTTCGGTGAAGGTCAAGGTGATCCCCTAGGACTAGGAGGCATTTGGACCATAAGGGGGAGTGAACAACGTGGGTCCTTGTTGGTCGTCCGATCAGAGAATCAACGGCTCAGATCAAGCGTGATCAAACACGGATAATTCATCGTCGTGGCTCGATCTCAACCGTACTTCATCGATCGGATGGTTTCCAAAGCTTGTAGTTATTACATTAGCAAATCAGCTTCAGATGAGATGAAATTAGCAAAATATATATGTAGATAGGACAATCAATCATGAATTATATTCCAGGTCAATGATGCAGTAGCATACTAGCATGTGTGCACAAGTGAGATTTCCACAGAATAATGGAATCTGTAGTTAGTACTAATACTAGTATGCGTGTAACTGTAAAACAGTAAATTTTGCTAAATCATTTTCAGGTCAATGCGGTGAAAATACTCTGCCAAACATTCTCTTGGACAGTTGGACTCGCTCAACTTTGTGCAGATAAATAAAGTACTGGATGCTGGAGATTAGATTAATAATCAGATGAGACAAACCACCTGCACGTGTTCTAGATGGTTTGAACAATTCGGCTTTGAATTGTGCTGACAGGAAGGTTGGCATCGCCATCAAGGTTGGATGGTACTCTTGTCCGGGAATCATTGCAGAGATTAGTCCACGTTTTAATGCAAGCCAGAGACTCCCTTGCATGATTAAGCTCAACAGAACAATTTATCAGATAGTAGTACAGTATTTCTACCTTAAGGGTGTGTTTGAGGATTGGGGAGATTGGGGAGATTGGGGAGATTGGGAAGATACGCAAAACGAGGTGAGCCATTAGCACATGATTAATTGAGTATTAACTATTTTAAACTTCAAAAATGGATTAATATGATTTTTTAAAGCAACTTTCCTATAGAAATTTTTTGCAAAAAACGCACCGTTTAGCAGTTTGGGAAGCGTGCGCGCGGAAAACGAGAGACAATCTCTCTCAATCCCCCAGATTGCCCAGGAACGAACGTTCCCTAAGACCTGGAAGTTGTCTTGTGTCCATCCTGATTTCTTGTCCGGATGTTAAGATGAGATGACAGTGTGTATCTGCAGGTATTTAACTCCTCAAGTTGCTGTGCAACAGTACACTGAAAGCTCATAATTTTTTTTTTTTGTTTGTGATCCTTAAAAGTCATGTTTACTCATCAAGTTGCTGTTCAACACTAGACTACACGGCTGCAGTTCTTAGCCGGCGTGTTCAAAAGTCTTCTTGCCCAATCCGGAACGTCAGCGTAATGTTTACCGTTAATTAATTAGTTAATTTTTCCAAGCAAATCCATTTGTTAGCGTCATAGGGAACCAAGTCAGTTTTTTTTAATCGGTTGGAGGCAATTGATCATGTTGTTACAAGTTATCTTTGCAAGAGAAATTGAAGGATGTACATCAGTAGGTAGATGTATCATTGATGTTCATCTTGAGGCGAAATTCTGAAGTTTCATAGTAGAACACAGATAACAGTATGCTTTAGCAAAGCTGTCACATGATGAACATGTATCAAATTGTGCGACGTCTGTACCTGATCTCCTCCGAAAGTTAGTATATTGAATATATACATAAAAAAAGTTGTGATAAATGAAACAAATTAATGTATCATAGAAGAAGAAAGGCTGATAAAAGAAATTAAAAATAACTCAAAGAACAATTGAGAAAGGCTTTGTTTCAAATTTCTCATTTTGTTATATCTTCCAATGGGAGCCGCCGCCTTGGAGATCATCGGGAAAGAGAGAAAAGGGGAGAGGTGGAGACAGATAGGGGAATAGAGTAGAGAGAAGGGTGGAGGAGAAAGACGATAGCCACTGGTAAATAGGACCCACGTGGGCTCTATCTTTTTTCTTTCCTTTACTATAAGTGCCAAGTAGATGTTATATGGGATGAAAAATCTAGAAAACTTGCCTATGGGTGTAACGTAGGACGGAACCGTTGTTCAAACCATCGAGGGATTCAATTTACACAAATTTTAGTAGTTGGGAGACGTTCTATACCTAGTTTTATTATAGTTAAGAAATGCAAATGTAACTCGATCTATAGTTGAGAGGGACACAAATTGGATTTTGTTTTCTTTTCGTTTTCCTTATGTCGATCAATTTTTTGTTGACGGGTTGTTACTGGCCCGACATTTGATATGCCGTTTTGGGATGCAAATTTTGTAAGAATAAGTTCATTTTGTCCCTCAATTTATCGTCGAATTTGAACTTCATCCCTAAACCGAAATATTAGTTGGTCCCTCAATTTATATAACCGGATCACCCAAGGTCCTAGGCAAGAAGAGGGAAGATAGAGAGGAGAAGAAAGTGCTAGTCACTGACATGTGGGGTCTGCATGGGTCTCACGTTGACTAAGCTTGTCATGTCAGCTAAAATTGAGCATAATACGGTTTTGTAAATTGAGGAAGTCATTATATCTGCTATTTCGGTTTAGGGACAAATTTAGGACTCGGCAACAAATTGAGTGACCAAAAGTGAACTTATTCCAATTTCGTATGTTAGACCGTTTATGGGCTGGCATTTTGACCTGAGGTCGTCTGTGCGTGGAATATTTCTTTTGCTGGGCCTTTAGTGGGCTGCGCTTGCCAGTAACTCTCTGTGGATGGGCTGTTAGAATTTTGGAAACTTTTCTTACGCTCCGGGCCGTTCATCAGCAAACGATTTCTTTAGGTGAGCTGTTAATGGGCTATTCAATGTGCGTTGTTAACGGGCTTTTCTTTCCACTGACGAAGGCTTCAGGCAATACAGCACACACTTCCAATGGAGTATAAAACAGTACCACAATAGACTATGCCTTGTGGAAAATCTGGACACAATATACTAATACTATGCAGGCGCTTTTTCAGGCCTTGTGGCTGATCTGTACCAAATTCGAAATTCATGAATATTTAGGCCAAAGGTTTATAATCACGGAATATCAGGTGAACGATTAACATATATTCATGATATCCCAAGGTTAATAGTCATGAAATTTTTAGCCAAGTCTAACATTCAAGCATTTTTTAGCCATGGTCTAAGAGCCTATTTGGGGGAGCTTCCATTAACTGCAGCTTCTCCGAATCTGGAAAATGAACTAGAAGCCATTCTCACCAGCAGGGGCGGATTCACAATGGGGGCGGAGGGGTCTCGAGACCCCACTACCGCCCCCGAGACAGTGGAGACCCCCCTAAGCCCCCACTAATTTTTTTTCCATAGATCTATAGGATGTGGGGACTGGAGGTTCGATTTATGCTGATGTAGTTTATTCAGCCCCCACTACTATTTTTTTCTAGATCCGCCACTGCTCACCAGCTAGCTTCTCAGTAGCTGCTTCTCATAATTTTAAGCTCCCCAAACAGGGCGTTATATACTCATATGTTTTTAGCACCAAAGTCTAAAATGCATGAATTTTTAGGTGAAAGGTTAATAATCACGAATTTTTTAGCGGACCCTGATATTCATGCCTTTTTAAGACCCAAGGTCAATACACATGTATTTTTCAACTCTTGGTTAATATGCATGATTTTTTTGGGCCGAAGATAAAGATTCATTTTCGGACAGGAGAGTAATATTCACTCTCGTTTGGGCCCAGTACTCATGATTTTTTTTAGTCCAACGCTAAATAAATACCGGTATGTTTTGGGCCGAAGTCTAAAAGTAATGAATTTTTAGGCCAAATGTTTATAATCATGAAATTTTGAGCAAAAGTCTAATAATCACGCTCTTTTATGACTAAGGCTAATCCTTTATGGGTGTTTTTTAGCCAAAGCCTAAAATCAAGAATTTTTAGGCCAAAGGTTTAAAATCACGAAATTTTGGATAAAGTAATATTCAAACCTTTTTTTAGCCCAAGATTAATACTCATGAAATTTGTAGCACAAAGCCAGAATTCACGTGTTTCTTTAGAGATCTAAGCTAATTTGAGTGGAAGTCAAGTCATAAACTTTTTAGGACAATGTTTATTACGGTGAAGTAGTAGAGTACAGAGATCTATGTCCTTGCAGTGAAAAGTTAAGTTTAGAACCACTTTTATTCTTAACGTCTAATGAACTTGATTGAGCTCTCAAATGAGCTTTAGCATGTCACAATGAGCAAGGGAAAATGAGATATTCTGAAGTGATCTTTAAATTGGAATCTAAGTACATAAAGTGTGACCCACTGAACTTTGGCACTCATCTTTGTGCTTCCTTCAATGCACATATCTTCTTGATTGGAGATTTGACAACCATTGACTAATTCATATACCCTTTAGCATCATTCAAAATACACGAGAAGGCTCAATTCAAAGTCATATTCGCAGTTATTTGACCTGGCTTGTGTCTATTAGGAAGATAAATGACTAGAAGAGCACCTGTGTATCTTTCTTGACTTCATCTCGGACTAAGAAGTAAAAAAATAACTGCTGGGAACATTTCGAAACAACTTGCGTACATGTTCGAGCAAAAATCATACTCCCTCCGTTTCTAAATACTTGACGACGTTTACTTTTTTAAATATGTTTGACCGTTCGTCTTATTCAAACAAATTTAAGTAACTAGGAAGGTAGCCCGCGCGTATGCGCGGGTATGTATCGTAATATGTGTTAAAGAAACTTATAAGATTGAAATATTAACCAGATAGTACATGCTACGCTTCAAATTTCAAAAGTAGTATTTCTCTATGAATGTTTTTCAACGATATTGCTTTGATAATTTTTATAAGCTATTTGTTTGTTTTATGCAACAAAATATTTAATTCATCCCTACGAGTAATTATCTGTCCACGTTATCGAGAAAGAAGGTCGACTTATTTTATTAAGAAATAATTTTTAATAAATTAAGTGTAAATTAAAATTGAAGTGTTATTGTTTTTGTCGAATGTTTAGGGTCTCTTTTTTTAAGTAAATCATGGAAAACTACTATTACTGATAATGTGTTTTATTTATACCATTAAGCTAGGTCTCCTTCTAATCGGTTATCTATTAAGAATTTGGAAGGGGATTAGAGGGCACGGGTGGGAGTCACGGAGGGATTGGATTACATACTTGCGTTTCTTTGCATGTGTGGTGGAAGCCACACGAAGGCATGTGCCTAATATTTCTCATTCATCCAAGAAATATTAAATGGTAGGTTTCTATCTCAATTAACCACCTTACAGAAGAGAAGAGGTGTGTTGCGCCATGATAACAGAATATGTGCATATTTTTTTTTCAAACCGAGTATGTGAGCATTTGTAGGGCCAGCAGGGGATAAGGGTATTTTACAAAATGATTCATGGTTGAAAATAAATGGGTTCACCAGATTAAATGAAAACCGACGGTTAGACTTTTGTTTCTCTCTCAAAATTTCTTGGAATTACACTAATTTATTAGAGTGCCACGTGGTGGCCACTGTGTTCTTTCTCCAATTTCCCAACATCTACTCCCTTATTTTTCACATGCACGCTTTCCAAATTGTTAAA